GACTCAAAGACTGCAGGAGAGGCATGGTGCTGAGTCCTAATACATGCTTGAGGAATTAAATACAAACAGGTTATTATGGACCATACCTGCGGAATCGTGGTCTATAACCCCGATACATATTCTGTCTTACTGGTCTACCTTGTTCTCCTGCACCCTGGTTGTCAGCACCCTGAAAAGACAATGGACATCAAACCTACTAGATCAGTAACGTAAGAATAAAACCCAACAAATCCAAAATCTGCATACAAGAGTTAACAAAACTCCCACAAACCCAATCATCTAGTAACTGTGATTACACTATAAATTATTAATCCTTGTTATTTCCTATAAGAATCAAGATGTTGTACGCCCCTGGGTAAAACGCTCAACTCTAAGTTAAACTTTACCTTATAATGGAAAACAATATAACCTGAACATTTGTACTCTCACATTAATTTCGGAACAACAACAAAAAAAAGGACAAAAGGTATTGGTATAAAAAATAGACACATACAGGCAGTAGGACAGTGGTTATGGTGCTGGCCACATGTACCAAGGCTGGTGGGTTTGAACCTGGCCTGGGCCAGCTAAACAATAATCACAACTGCATCAACAAAAAAACCCACCTGGGCACCTGTAGTCCCAGCTACTTGGGAGGCCGAGGCAAGACAATCGCTTAAGCCCAAGAGTTTAAGGTTGCTGTGAATTGTGACCCCACAGCACTCTACCTTGAACACAGTCCTGCTGCAAGTTATTGAGTTATTACATGTTGTTGTTGATCCTTTTTCTTTGGGTGAAAACTTACCTCCATCACTTCTCCCTGCACAGGAGGGTTGGAATACTGTGGTCGACGCCCATAGGGTCTCCTCATGTAGTAAGGTGGGAACCTTCGCCTGCGGTAGGGCCGGCGTTGTTGGGCCTGGCCTTCAGGAGCACTCTCCGATCCCTCGTTCTTTTCCCCGCTCTCACTATTCTGGTAATTCTGCTGGTAATTGCGTGGAGGACCCCTGCGACGTGGATAGCGCCTATAATGGTTACGGTCTGCTGCATATTTACTGCCTTGAACTGGAATTCCACCAGGGCCTGTAACATTTGCTGCCTCCGCACCCTACAAAAGCCATTATATATTTTGATGGTGACAAAGGAAATCAAAACACTTTCCACAAATTTCACACAAAGCCATAGGGAAAAAAGGGGCAAAGGGGAGGAGTCTGAGTAGCCAAGGGTACATAGGAATGACTAAGTATCAGCTCCTCACTGTTCTGAAGAGAATGCCCTCTAACTCCAGCCAGCACATTAGGGTGGTCACCTGAACACATCTATCCACTTTAGGGCCACCACCCTAACAGATGAGACCTCCAAAATATTTCCATACTGAAGTCAAACCTTTACACAAAAAGCATCCTCACCTTTTCTCCTTCAACAACATCAAACTCCACAGTCTCTCCATCTCCTACACTGCGAAGGTACTTCCTGGGGTTATTCTTCTTTATGGCAGTCTAGTAATATCACATTCCAAAAATAGATTAACAGGGGAGAATAATGTGCTTTTGCATTTAATATGTACCAGAGTCAATATTATTTTAGCTTGGATATATACTTAAATCTTAAGATTTACTTTAGACCAAACTGTCAATAAATTTAGGAGTATAGGGACCACACTACCCCCATCCTCAACCAAAAGACTCCAAACTTACAAGGTCCCAGAATTTTACTACTATTTACAAAACTAAAAACAAGTAATTAAACACCTACGACAGACACTACTATGTATGTTTTTAAAAATGCTTTTTGTAAAAGCATTATATATGACTTTGAACAAAATGAAGATATCCATCTATCCCCCAACAACTGCACTTAATAGAGGATAGCCCCACATAGGGCCAGTTTAGATGACAGGCGAGTTTGGTTTTGTATGCTTCAAAGTTGACCAAACCAACTTTGTCCCTGTTACCATATCAAACTCAGTAACAAATGTCAACCAAAATCCCTTCCAACCTGTCTGTGATAATTCAGTGGAAATGCAATTCACATGTATTAACTATGCCATTCTTAAGGACTGTTGGTTATTACAGCCCCAGAAATACAATAAGTCTTAGAGATCTGTTACTTCTATGTCTTCTGTTGAAAGTAAAATAAAAGGGAAAAATAATACCTCACATTTTTATGTAGTATTTTATAAAGTTCTTTCACATGTTGTCTATTCAACCTCATTGTGACAGAGAATGTGAGGTATCATTACTCCTTTTTTACGGGTTAACAGGTTTTTTAAAGTCAGGTGACTGACTTGCTAAAAGTCATGTTATGTATGCAGCACAGTGGAGACTTTTTCTAAACCCAGGTCTTGGGATTCCAAATCCCATGTTCATTCCACATCACAGCGGTTTCCATTACAGGATCACTCATGCATTTCCATTCCAGAAGAGGCAGGAAAACCAACAAATCTGAGGCCAATTAAGCTAAGTTGCCCAGAACTGCAGTCTCCTTGATACACAACCAAGACCAGAGCAGCTGAAGTCTCAAGAAACAACATGTTGAAACCACTTCCAAAATAAAGAGGAAAGCATATTGGTGACACCTTGTGAATCGGTATAACTAGGTGAAGTCAAATAATTGATCTCATCTGTCATCTAAACTGTCACATAGTTTTCATACCTTTCACATATAGCCAACTATCAATTACCTGCAGTCACAGGGGATAGCAAAAGTATGGATAAATAAAACCCCCAACTCCTATTACATTCAGTCAACACCTCCAACACCCCCCCGATCCCAACCCTCAAGGGTTGCCAACAGGCAGCGGGACTGACAAGCCTTGCTGTCTCTTGTTTCTCTGTCTACATATTCTTTTGAACATAAAGGAACAAGTAAATTGTCTTTATCCAAAAAAGAATACCAATTTCTTAAACATTTGCTTAGAATAATTATGCTGTCTGAGTACGACTGTATTTATTTACAGTTAGAACTTAAATGACTCCATACTTACATTTGACCCTGGGATTATCTGATAGGGTTTTGGATGTACTAGAAATTGATCTGGCTTCCCCCTTGTCATTGAATGTTGTATAGGACACTTCACAGAGCTATAAAGCACCAACCTAAGACAGCCCTTCCTAAGAAGCATGCTGTCATCCAAGCTCATTGCCTGAATAAATATGCGAGTATGGAAATTGACTTTAGGTCTTTTGATTTCTATAATCTAGTATAAAAAAAGTGGTTAAAAAGTTTATTAACATTATTTAACAAGTTGACAATATTTCACCAGTCTTAGTGAAAGAACTGCATAGAAGAGCATACATACACAAACATGTTTATCCTACTCATTCATACCTTTGAGAATAAGTTCAATAGAACCTATAACATACTCAAGCTTGAGACATTAGTGTTCACTTGGCAGTGGCTTGCTTTAATAATAGTCTTAATTCCTTATTATCCACGCATTTCCAAAACATTTTCCTTAAATGATCCTTGAGGAGAAAGTTCAGCATAGCACTTATCCTACATTATAGTCTTCTCCCATACCACTGGAAGAAGCCAATCTAAAAATTAATAAGCAATTACCAACTTTGCTGCACCTACCACCTTTCATTTATTTATCCTTAAACCTTCAAACCTCCTCCTTATTCCTTATTCTTCATTATTCAAACCAGTTAAGGCTCTCCAAAAAGTAAATTAAAAAAAAAAAGCTTTACCCATTCAAAGTACCTTTCCTTATTTTCTAGAATCTACTTCAATTACTGTTTTGCACCTCCTTCCCACGATTATTTGTCTTTAATGGTAGCTTTAACAGCAGCTGAACATTTCTTTCTTTCTTTTTTTTTTTTTGGCGGCTTTTGGCTGGGGCTGGGTTTGAACCCGCCACCTCCGGCATGTGGGGCTGGCGCTTTACTTCTTTAAGCCACAAGTGCCCCCAGCTGAACATTTCTTGCCAAACTTAGTAATTATACAACATCAGTTCAAGTTTAGAATCATGGAGGTTATTTGTTTATCTGGAATTAGGTAAGTAAACAAATTCAACATTTTACAAAGCTAAAGCTAATAGGAAGTATCAATCCAAAATACCTATTTTAAGTGAACTCCAATACAATGTATACATTTTAAGTATGCTACTACTCTTAGTGTAAGAACTAGATTAACCAGGGGTTGGACTTAATAACCTTTGTAAGGAACAACAGTAGAGAAGACAAACCCTTTTCTTCCCCCAACCTTTAGTCAAATATCTACATAAGCACTCACCTGGTGTACAAATACATCTTCCTTGGTGTCATTCCTGCAAGATAAAACCAAGTTCAACAAGTTAGAAAATGGAACATATTAATTAGTGGGACCACACCTAAGGTGCATCTTACACGGGTACACGTGAAATTTACTAGGTGTAGAATATAAATGTCCCTAATACAATAACTAAGAAAATGCCGTGAAGGCTATGTTGACCAGTTTGATGAAAGCATTTCAAATTGTATGTAAAACTGGCACACTGTACCCCATGATTGCATTAATGTACACAGCTATGATTTAATTAAAGAACAAACAGAAAATCAAACTTATTTTCATATTGCCAAAGATTTAAGAATACACCTGGTGACTGGTACACTATTTCTCTAAACTTCCTGGTTGCCACCTAGCAGGAAATTTAGGAAATAAACAATGTCACCACGAACTCTCCTGTAAAGACTAAGTAATGTAAACAGTTATAACTGCAATACCTGTAAGAAATCAAAGTGTGACTTACCAAGCCACAATTAAGAAGGCAGCAATGACTAGCAACATACATTAGGCTACTCCTCCTATTAAACATTAACAATGTTCTGGCACACCCCACTCTTCTTGCCTCTATCTAGAAAGCATGGCTACCAACAAGTAGAAATTTCTTTCTTTCTCATTTCAACCTTAACCTGAGTCCCAGCTACTCCGGAGGCGGAGGCAAGAGGATTCACCCTCTTTAATTCCTAATTTTCCTTAAAGTCATAACCCCTTGCACACCCTGGAATTTGTAGGTCACAAAGAGAACCCTAATGTAAACCATGGTCTTTGGGTGGTAAGTCTGAATGTAAGAAAAAGAAGCCTAGTAAGTCAGTTATAAAAGCGAGTCCAGGGAGGTGCCTGTGGCTCAAGGAGTAGGGTGCTGGCCCCATATACTGGGGGTGGTGGGTTCAAGCCCAGTCCTGGCCAAAATCGAAAAGCTAGTTCAGAAGCCCAGATCAGGACTGATGGATAGCCTAGACTAAGAGGCCATGTATGAAGGAGGTAGTTGAAATATCCTTGAGGCAAAAACAGGAAAGAATTGTGGATAACTAGATGTTAAGAGTGAAGAAGAAATGGACAATAATCTGACTTTTTAAGAAAAGTCTTGGAGACTGGATCAAGGTGATGGTACCAGTAGGAAAAATAGACTTCTAGGCATTTAGTGATCTATCAGTAGGTCAGAGTCAGAAAAATGTCAATGGTTCTTTCTAGTGTTTAATGACAGAGGGAACAAAAGTTATAATCAACTACAACGACTATCTTATTTTTAGTTTCTTGCTGATCTATGGAACAATGTATATAACAAAGGATCCACACTAGATTAATTTTGACTTGCACATTATAGCTTGGACTGTCACAAGAACATTTTTAGCTTATGTGAATAAGATAATTCTGAAATTGTTTGTTTTTTGAGACAGGGCCTTGCTCTGTTGAATAACTATTAGCCAGGTGCAGCGGCTCATGCCTGTAATCCTAGCACTCTGGGAGGTTGAGGTGGGTAGTCTGCCTGAGCAGCAGGAGTTCAAACCAGCCTGAGCAAGAGCAAGACCCCATCTTTAAAAAAAAAATAGCTGGGTGTTGTGGCAGGTGCCTATAGTCCCAGCTACTTGGGATGCTGAGGCAAGAGGATCGTTTTAGCCCTAGAGTTTCAAGTTGCTGTGGATTATGACACCATGGCACTCTACCCCAGGCCAACTGAGTGAGACTCAGTCTCAAAAAATAAGATGCCAAAAATGGCCATCTAGAATTATGCTCTAAACCTTTAGTTACTATTAATGTTTCAGAGGAGGGAATGGAGGCACCCCTAGTACTACTGTGCCTTACCCTCCATGGTATATGTTTTGAGACTCAAAAGGCACATGCCTTCACCATACCTTAACTAATGGTGGTGGTTACAGACAGGGCAACTAGTTTTAGATTCTCCTTGCCACTAGACTGCAAGGAAATCATGAAGGATAAACTATGCCTCATTCTTTTTTCTATACTAGCAGCCACCATACTAAAGCAATGATAGGTACTCAAATCATTAAGAGTTAATATTTATTGGGTGTCCGTTACTCACTAAATATTATTAGCCAGCTGAGTGGCACCTGTGGCTCAAGCAGTAGGGTGCTGGCCCCATATACCAGAGGTGGTGGGTTCAAACCCAGGCCTGGCCAAAAACTACAACACCCCCCCCCCAAACAAATTAAGTATTAGCCAACTATTAAAAGTAAAATGTAATTAAATACCCTACATGCCTTAGGACGGCGGTTCTCAACCTGTGGGTCATGACCCATTGCCTTAGGATCTTACATCCATAACCAACGCTCAACTGATAAGTGAACATGTTGTTTATCTTATGTATTACATACTGTTTTTCATTTTTTCTTTTCTTTTTTTTTTTTTTTTTTGCAGTTTTTGGCCAGGGCCAGGTTTGAACCTACCACCTCTGTCTGGTATATGGGGCCGGTGCCCTACTCCTTTAAGCCACAGGCGCTGCCCTATATATACTGTATTCTTACAATAAGATTAAGCTAGATGAAAGAAAACCTATTTCAGTAAATGATAAAACATGCTATAATATCTCTATATTTATGCATTCTTGACACACCCAACCTTTTCCTTTCTGGGTTTTTTTTTTAGTTTTTAGCCGGGGCTGGGTTTGAACTTGCCACCTCTGGCACATGAGGCCAGTGCCCTATTCTTTTGAGCCACAGCTCTGCCCCCACTTTCTGGATTTTTAAAGTAGTTCTTACGTATTCCTATGTTGTACCTGTTAGGTGGGAACTTACTGAGCCCTCTACACCCTTCTCCCAAAATATGTTTCAATAACCATCTCCAAGTTTTTCTAATTGTCACAAATCCTTGAAAAATATTCTAAAGTTATCTATTGGAATAAAATCTGTGTATAAAAAAAGTAGTCCCTTGTAGTTCAAGCCCATACTGCCTGAGGGTCAATTGTGTAATAGTTGTTTACTCTAGGAAATTTTAAAATCAAAGGATTTTTCTTTGGGGGGTGGCAAATCTTTTAAGCCTTTCCTAGTGCCAACATTTATTTAGTTTTCATCGACTACCCACAAATTATATAGCTAACAGACAGACCTACTATGATCAAGTTAGTATCAGTCAATCATCTTTCCACAAAGCTACACTTTTTCTACCCAAAGCCACACATTAGCCACTTGGGACTCTAGGCGGGAAGATGGCTTGAACCAGGTGTTTGAGGTTGTAGTGAGCTGTGATCCCGCCACTGTGCTCCAGCCTGGGCAACAGAAGACCCACATTTTAGGCTTATGTGAGACCAGATACTCTGCAAAAGATGATACCCATTCTCACTCTCCAGGCCATATAAAAACAAAAGATTTATCTTGGCATTTGTAGCTCAACGGCTAAGGCATCCGCCACATACACCAGAGCTGGTGGGTTTGAATCCAGCAGGGGCCTACCAAACAACAATGATAACTACAACCAAAAAATAGCTGGGCGTTGTGGCAGGTGCCTGTAGCCCCAGCTACTTGGGAGGCTGAGGCAAGAGAATCGCTTAAGCCCAAGAGTTGAAGGTTGCTGTGAGTTGTGACACCACAGCACTCTACCAAGGGTGACAAAGTGAGATTCTGTCTCAAAAAACAAAACAAAATAACCCCCCCAAAACAATCAAACAAAACAAACCACAGAAGATTCCAAAATGAGATAAAGTCCTGTGAGCAACATTTAATTTGTAAAGTTGACCTGCACACTTAACTAGAACTTTTAGCAATTATAAATTTCTTAACACTAAAATGTATCAAGTATTAAACAGCTCACATCTGGGGAACCAGCAGTAGGCACAGAGGAACCTCAGTGACATGCCTAGAGACCATTAAGTCTTTCAATAACTAATGACTAAGAATAGCCATCCTAAACTGAAGACGGACTCGGTCTATTTCAGAGATAGCATAACAACAACTGGTGAACACAAATGACAAATCAGAACACTAGAGTTCAAATCCCAACACTGCCACTTAACTTTAGTGCCTCAGAGTTAACAGTACTGATACTTCAATGTGTGAAAGAAGTCACCTTTTAGTTATACAGGCATCAAATACCTCCCAAGGAGACTAAATATGACAGGCATGACTATGTTTCTAAACAGGAAATAGCTAAGCCTTTCCCTAGCTTGGTTTATTGTATCTTCTTAGAACCTGGGTAATAAACTTAAATGTGTATATAGAGGCTTGGTGGGAAGGGTAGTGATCAAGGTAAGACAACTAAGTGGAACAGACTGATTATAAAAACAAAGAAAAAAAAGAATGTATGCCCCATCTAAAAGTGGTGACAATACTCAGGGCCAATTGGTTTTTATTTATGTCAACACAGACCCCTCAAACTAGCTAAAGTCACAATATTAAAAATATGACAATCTGGATTATTTTTGGTGTCATCTCTTTAATTTTTAATGTTAGTAACTCCAATTTTTTTAAAGTCACTGTATGACCTCTTTATTCCCTTTGCTCCAAATTCCTTGCTTACCTCAAAACTTTAGAACAATTAAGCATTTTTAAACACTCTGAATAACACAAAAGTATTTCCATTCTGGTCATAAAAGTTGCATGCATGTCCCATTGAAAAATAAATCATTACTGAGCAATTTGTGGTCATCTTTCATGAAGTTTGGGGAATATGGATTAATCCTTAATAGCTAATAAAATCAAACAGTAATTTAGAGGGGGGTGGCTAATAAACCCCTCTAGTCACATAGTCCCAATTATCTCTTACAGACTCAGTATGCAAAGGAATAACTCAAATGAATTTCTCACAATTTCTAGATCAGTCTAACAAAATAAAGCCCAAATTTTTGCTATATTAAAAGCTTTCTGCTCTTTAAAATTAGCTTCTTATACACAATATAATCATCTGGGGAAACCTTTAAAGAAATAATTCAACTAAGGCTGTAGCAATTTATTATAGGTGATAATTTAGGCTGGGACACACTCAAAACACCGCACCCTCTCTTTTATAAAGAAGCAGCGTAGGGCATGTTACCTCTTCCTATCTGTCCTCCCTATGGAGAGCTAGGTGCCTCTAGCTCTGTATGTTATTTGCTCTACTACACAAACTACACATACAACCAAATGCTGCTACCTTCCAAACTGCATTTAAGACCTACATTTTCCTTGAATAAGGCAAACCTCTCTTGATTTAAAGGAAGTCACATTTTTTTTGAAGCATCTTAAATGTAATGTAAATGATGTATCTGATAGAATACATTCCTTTTTCTTCCTTAGTTTTTATTCTCCTTCCTGGTCCCCAAATCATATTGATGAAATCAATTTTTTTTAAAGCCCTGGCTCTAGTTTGGGTGGCCATCCTCCCAGGAAATTTAACGTTGTTCTGTTCCTCTTACTACAAGAGAAGTAAGATAAACCTTTACTGTAAGATGAAGCTACAAACTACATCTACACTACAAACTACATTTCACCATCCTTAAAGCAACCAGTTTAGAAACATAAAAGCCCATTTCATCAGATGATTTGACAAAATGGAGGTTAGGATAGTCAAACAAAGGATCATCAAAAGCCAATTTATACTTAACTTGCTCTGGAGGATGAGCAATTGAATTGTTTCCCAGGCAGAGATATAGTTAGAGAAAGATACCTCCTAAAATACTTACAAAAATGTAAAGAATTACTTTTGTCTTAGATAAAAACTCTTCACTTCAAAAAATGACATACATAACTTTAATGTCCACTTCATGAACTTCAGCATAACAAAAGTATATCCTAAAATTTCTTAAATAGTTGGGTGTGTGGCTCACACCTGAAACCCTAGCACTCTGGAAGGCAGAGGCGGGTCAAAAGCTTGAGCTCAGTTCAAGACCAGCCTGAGCAAAAGCTAGGGAACCACCCTCTGAGGCAAGCAGATTGAGCCCAAGAGTTGGAGGTTGCTGTGAGCTATGATGTCACAGCACTCTATCCAGCTTAAGACTGTTTCAAAAATGAATTTCTTAAATACATACAAAAACTACATTCTATCCACTGAAAAGGCTGCAAGCTACAAGCCCCTTTAAAATGCAATTACAGTATGTCAAAGATTAAAAGTAGTGATTTTGATGGTAATGTCACATAGACCATGAACCTGAAATTCTTGTTAAAAATGTACCCAGAGCTAACAAATCCAAAGCTTGAAGGAGGAATTCAGAGGCTTATCATTTCCAGCATTCCTCCATAGTAAGTATGCTGAAATCTGAAAGCCATCGATATAAGAGGGAAATTCTAACTAAAACACTACGAAATTCAAGAGACCACAAAAAATTGATCACAAGTGTACCTTTGGCCCATGAGGAAGGCAAACAGTAAGACAACTGGAAAAAGATTTTCTTCCTCAAGATTTTGGAAGGAAACACCACCTTCCCCTACAACTGCCAATCAGAATGCCTATAATCTCTGGCTTTCAGTGTTTTGAAAATAACATATGGCTGATCAATGATAATTATGTCGGTCTTTAAGCTTGATCTCACCCATTTTTTATCTACTTCCAAGTATTCTTAAGTGTTCTCTTTTAATCACCTGTTTAACATCCCCTGAAGGAAGGATTTAAGAAACAAAATGCTGAAATAGCACCAAGTATCCTACCTGTAAGGCCAAGATTGCTATTGGCACACATAAGCTGTGCTCTACACCCATGCAATTGCACTACTAGCCTTGGCAGCCATCTTGAAAATGATGCCTGGCTCACAAGGGAACCCATGGAGAGTACAGCAAGTACAGTGCAGTTATCACCAATACTGCTACAAACAATTTTAAAGATAACTCCTAAAGATGTAGTTTGTAGCTTCATCTCACAGTAAAGGTTTATTTTACTCCTCTTGTAGTAAGAGGAACAGAACAACGTTAAATTTCCTGGGAGGATGGCCACCCAAACTAGAGCCAGGGCTTAAAAAAAAATTGATTTCATCAATATGATTTGGGGACCAGGAAGGAGAATAAAAACTAAGGAAGAAAAAGGAATGTATTCTATCAGATACATCATTTACTCTATGAGCAAATGATACAGCCGAGGTGTTAAAAAGACAGTATATATTTGAAATGTTAAACAAAGGCAGTATTAATCTTATGGTAAAGATGACAAAACATCGTGTACTTGACATGTCACACTACATTACCACAAAAAGGTCAATAACGTGTAAATACTTATGTTAATCAGTAGAGCACGTTGTCAAATACCAATTTTAATAAAGTATAAAAGGATGTCAAGAATAACAATGCACTGGACTGTAGCTTCCCCAGTTTGCCCTAACAGTTCATTGACTCCACTTGCCTTTTAACTTGAACCATTTACGAAGCCTTTGAAATTAGCTTCAAATTAGTATTTAGCTGCAAAACAAAGACAACCTCTAGACCCACTAATCCGCCCGTCCCAATCATCAAACAAAAATCACACCGATATACTAGACTAGTACTAACCACTCTTCAGAACACGACCGTGTACCAACAGAAGCTTCAAACAATCCCAAGCCCCGGAGATCCTACGGAGCAGCAAACGCGCTAAAGGAAAGGAATGGAGGCTTCAGAGTCGGGCAGCTCACCTGTTGATGAAACCATATCCGTTTCTTACATTGAACCATTTTACTGTTCCCAAAACCTTCGTTGCTGGAAGACAAAACAAAGCAAAACAACCTACGATTACCAAATGTCCCTTCTACAACAGCCCTGCTTCGGCATCCGGTCCCTCGCATACTGCCGGCCGTAACCACCTGACAGACTTTTCTTTCCAAAGATCGTCGCGGGGCCGCGCTGGGACCACGACGCCGCCTTTGCCCTACACGTGGGTGAACCTAAAGCCTTGAGGCGCCCCAGGGTAGGCCAGGGGCTCCAGACCAAGATGGGCGTGTGCGCAGGCCGCGGGCGGAGAGCACGTGAGGGAAGGGAAGCCGCCTCGGCCCACTCCGGCCTGCGTAGGCGGCGCGCCGCGCCCTCGGGGCACACGCGGAAGGGATCTGGGTGGATAAGTCAGGAACAACGGAGTGCCGGGCCCAAGCGCACGAGGCCGGTTGGCGGGGAGGGGACCCTGCCGCACACGCGGTCCGCCGCGCGCGGCCGCGGGGGGAGGGGCGCGCGGCGGCGCGGGGTCCACAAGGGGCGCGGGAGGCGACGCGCGAGCGCGCCTGCTGGGCGGGCGGGCCCCTGCGAAGCAGATTGGGGGGGGCCGGGGGGAGGGGCAGCCGCGCGCGGCTGAGTCGGTGCCCGTCGGCCGCGCGCCCGCCGGCTCGCCCCGCTCTGGCTAACGGTTCCGCTGCCAGGCTTCTATACGGCCCCACCCCCGGCTCTACCCGGCCCTCACCGATGACCTTCTTGTCCCCGCCGGCAGGCGCCGCCGATGTGAGGCCGCCCGGGCCACCGCTCCCTGCGCCGCTGCCCGTAGTGCCGGGCTTGGTGTCGGCAGCGCTGAGGGCGGGGGCGGCGGCGGGCGGCTGTTGGGTCTCGGCCTCGCTGCTCATGGTTGCGGTGATGGTGACTGGGGCCGGCTGCGGCAGCTACGGCTCCTCCCGATGTGTGATGGTAACTAGGCCGGCGGCGGCGGTGGGGCTGCTCAGGGCTCTCTGGGGTCCGCTCTCCGCTCCCGCTACCGATCGAACTAGCGAGAATGGCGGGACAGGCGGGATAAGCCCTATGATCGACCCGCCCTCGGCATTGTTCACTGGCCAGAAGTGCTGTCAATCTCACCACCTGACCCCAACTCCTGGCTCCTATTGGCTAAGACTTTATCACTCCTCCATTCTCATTGGCTCTTAGGTGGCTAATTCAGCCGACCTACAACCGTTCCTGCCTCCGCTGCCGCCATAGAGACCGGAACTAGAATTAGAGTAGATACCACGAGAACCATAGAGTATACGAGAGGACGGACAGAGAGAACGTGACTTTCACGAGGCTGCTGCCCGCACGGGCCACGGGTTCAGGGTTATGTACCTGCTGAAGAAAAGGCACGACCAAACGCTGGGCGGGGATTAACTGGCCTGACTCGGGCGACGCCTTAGCCCCTCGTGGAGAGAAAGCCTCCTACCCTGTTCCACACATGGACCTTGTGATATCAGATCATTACCGCGAGCATAGAGTCGTTTTTTCTTTAATGGCCGTGTACTCGCAATACAGCCGAGGATTCCTGCAATTGGTTTAAACGTAAGCGTTCGAAGAGTGTGTACTAGAGTAATAGCCGTGGTGGGATCATGCAAACTCCCCGGCCCCAGCATGTTTAGGGCGAGAATGTACCCTGTGGAGACCTGCCTTCTGATCCGTTTCACCAGGCATATAAAGAATGTGTTTTAAGTATTCACGTCTGTTTGTATTGGCTACAATCAGATGTAATACAAACTCAACGTTTATTGAACAAGCTAAACATTCCCATCTGGATTTTACCCTAACTCCCATGTAAAATAGGGATTACTCTCCACGTTTCACAAACCATAAAACTGAGGCTGCCACCTGATGTTACTGAAGTCGCCCACCCACCTTCATTGGTTCTTTATTAAGCATCTACTATCAGTTGGTGATGGAATACTTAAAATTTGAGTTTCAGCCTTCTGATGGAGGCAGAAATTTAAACAGCTCAACACTTCAAACACTCCAGAACTGCAAAAGCACAAAACGTTTTGAGACGGGAAAGTGCTAACTTTCCAAGCACTAGAAGGCTTATGCAAAGAGCAAGGCCAAATGGCAGGAAAAAAAAAAAAGTCTGAGTCTCGGGAAATCCAGGTAAAGTAGTCCAAATGTAAAATAGTCATAATGAAGGATGAAACATTGGATTACAGAGGTAAACAGGATCAATTAGGTATACTTAACTTGAAATTTATTCTAAGGGCAAGACCTAGAAGGGCAATTTCAGATTTGTAAGTGGGGAGTGGCATCTTTTAAAAAAATGGCTGTCCAGTGCAGAATGGGATGTAGAGAAGTAAGGAAACCAGTTAGGAGGTTTGAATATGGTCAATTCCACCTAAAGGCCTCCCTGAGTCCGGTCCTAAAAACTCTATAAATGTCCATCCAGAGTCTCTTCATTCTTACTGCCACTACTCTTGGCCATCCTATTGCTTAGAGCAGGGATGTACAAACTTGTTTTTGTAAGGGTGAAGTAGATATTTTAAACTTGGCAGGGCATTTGGTTCTGTCTTACTAGTCACATTTAGAGTGTGAATGCACTCATAAGTGTGCATGCCTGTGCTGCAAAAATTTTTATTTATTGACACTGAAATATGAATGTCAGAATTTTTAGATGCCACAAAATGCTCGTTATTAGCTTGTAAGCCATAGAAAAACAGGGAGTGTAGCTTGTTGACCTGACCCCCTCTACCCCCACTTAAAACACTGCTGTAGCCTTGAAAGCATTCTACCTCTTTCTTACTCTAATATTCCCCACCACAATAGCCAGAAAGTTTTGAAAACCATTAGGATAATCCAAATTCCTTGATGTAGTTTACTGGACTTTATATGACCTCTCTCAACTTACCTCCCCACTCTTTACATTCCTTGTCCAATCTTCTAGGTGCTCTTTTAGCTGTTGCTCCCTTTGAAAACTATCTCATACTATCCTCTCAACCTGTAACTTCTTTTTTTTTTTCTGAGACAGTCTCACTATGTCGCCCTTGGTAGAGTGCCGTGGCGTGTCACAGCTCACAGCAACTTCAAACTCTTGGGCTTAAGAGATTCTCTTGCCTCACCTTACCAAAGGCACCCCCCACAATGTCCAGCTATTTTTTTTTTAAATAGTTGTCATTGTTTAGTAGGCCTGGGCTGGGTTTGAATGCGCCAGCCCTGGTGTATGTGGCTGGCACCCTTACCACAGAGCTACAGGCACCAAGCCTCAACCTGTAACTTCTTTTCTCCTTTACCTGCTTCTATATCCTTTAGGTTTTGGCTCAGATGTTACTAGGTTAAGAGCCCCTCCCATCCTAATACACTGTATTGCTCTAATTAGAATCATCCCCACTAGACTGTGAGTTCCTTGAGCAAATAGCCATAATACCTTAATGCATTTGTTAAATGACGTAGTGTAGAAAATGAATTGGAAAAGGCAGTACTGGAAGGAGAAAGGTCATCTGGGCAGCTCCACCAATAATCCAGGTAAAAAAGACCTGCAGCAGCAATGTGGACAGAGAGCAGGTGGATTCCAGAGCTGCTATTCATCTGTTCCAGCTGTAGGTGACTTTTGAATGTTAAAAGGAAAATCTTTCCTCAAAAGGCAGTTCTGCCAACACCTAAGGCACTTAAGCTTGCCCTCTAGGCTTTTCTCAAAGTTGGGTTACAAAGACACTAAAATTGCAGCAACACCCCTAAGGATAAGTGAGCAACCTCCCCTCTGCTTTGAAGCGATGGCTTCTCAAGCAGGAAAACAGATTCTGAATATTTATCTTTCAAATGTTACTCTAAGGCCGGCACATCAGGCGTGGCGGCTGATCCTAGCACTGGGAGGCCAAGCAGGTGAATTGCTTGAGCTCAAGAGTTCGAAACCAACCTAAGCAAGAGTGAGATCCTGTCTCTACTAAAAATAGAAAAACTAGCTGGGCATTGTGGAGGGCACCACACATAGTTAGTAGTCCCAACTATTGGGGAGGCTGAGGCAAGAGGATTGTTCAACCCAAGAGTTTGAGATTGCTGTGAGCTATGATACCATAGCACTGCACCCAGAGCAAAAGAATGAGACTCTGGGCTTGGTGCCTGTGGCTCAAGTGGCTAAGGCACCAGCCACATACACCTAAAGTGGCGGGTTCGAATCCAGCCCAAGCCGCCAAAACAACAATGGCTGCAACCAAAAAAATAGCCGGGCATTGTGGTGGGCGCCTGTGGTCCTAGCTACTTGGGAGGCTGAGGGAGGAGACTCGCTTGAGCCCAGGAGTTGGAGGTTGCTATGAGCTGTGATGCCACAGCACTCTACCCAGGGTGACAGATTGAGGCTCTGTCTCCAAAAACAAAAAAGAATGAGACTCTGTCTCCAAAAAAAAAAGTATCATTACTGGGCCAGGTGTAGTGGCTGACACCTATAATCCAAACACTCCGGGAGGGCTGAGGCAGGTGGACTGCCTGAACTCACAGGTTCGAGAATAGCCTGAGCTAGAGTGAAATCTTGACTCTAAAAATAGCCAGGCGTGGTGGTGGGAACTTGTGGTCCCTACTACTTGGGAAGCAGAGGGAAGAGAATTGCTTGAGCCCAAGAGTTTGAGGTTGCTGTGAGCTATGACATCACAGCACTCTACCGAGGACAAAGTGAGACTCTGTCTCAAAAAGAATCATTACTCATTCCATCACTTCATTCAGCAGTCTTCATACTCAATGAGTGTGAAGATGAGCTATTTAAAAAAGAAACTAGTGGGCAGCACCTGTGGCTCAAAAGGGTAGGACACTGGCCCCATATGCCAGAGGTGGTGGGTTCAAACCCAGCCCCGGCCAAAAACTGCAAAAAATTAAATAAATAAAAAAGAAACTAGTTTTCTTGTAGCCACCTTTCTACCACAGCAGAGATCGCCCTGAAGTACAGCCTGTTGAATCTCATCCCCCATCCAACATGGCAGCTCCCAACTACAGAGTTCTGCTAGTCCCCGTGCCATCTGGGAGCTCACACCACCCAGCCTTCCATGGTGACCACAGTACAACTCTAGGGTCTGCCGTTAAGTGGCATAAGGTGCAAGGATATTCATCCTATGCATCTCCTTTGCAAAAAGTAACTCTCACCTTGTCCCCATCTAGACTCTCGCCTAAGAACACAGTTTCCTCTTCTCAGGAAGCTCTCCCCTCCCTGATCATCTGACCAATCCCAACCATCTGTCAACACCTCAAAAGTCACTTCCTCTCACCAATAGTCTCAGCACCCTGCTTAACAACATCTTGTATCACACATACCTGTCATTCATTCCCATGCAACAAGTATTTCTTGAGCATCTATTAGGTAACTGTCTCCTCGGTGCTGAGGACACAGCAATGAAACAAAAGTAAAAGAAAAATAGACAAAATTTCCTGCCCTCAAATTCTAATACTTACTGCCTTGCACTGAAACTGTGCCTGTCTCCTGTCACAAGCAAAGTCCACATGATATTCATTTTCAGCTTCTGCCTAGTTCAGAAACTGATGTGGGATGTAGGTAGATGCCAGATGAAACAATTCAACTGAACAGCCCATCACAAGAATATCAGCTTGGGATCATAGCTGTTTAGCCTCTCTCCTAGCTCTTTACAATTCCTTCCGTCTAGTTACTTAATGATCTCTCCTCCACTAGATAGCAGTCCTTTCTCAGCTGTGTCCCCTGAAGCCTGTTTCCTTGGCCAGAGAGACTTGTAAATATCTATACTGTAGGGCCCTTGTACATCTCACCATCTCCCTTGTCCCCTGAAACTAAGTATACTGACACATTTTTTTTTTTTTTTTTGAGACTAGTCATTATGTTGCCCTCGGTAGTGTTATGGCAGCTCACAGCAACCTCAAACTCTTGGGCTTAAGCGGTTCTCTTGACTCAGCCTCCCAAGTAGCTGGGACTACAGGAGCCCGCCTCAATGCCTGGCTATTTTTTGGTTGTAGTTGTCATTGTTGTTTGGCAGGCCCGGGCTTGGTTTGAACTCGCCAGCTCCGGTGTACGTGGCTGGCACCTTAGCTGCTGAGCTACAAGCGCTGAGCCCTGATACAACATTTTAAACTAAATCCTACTGTCATAGAATTCAGCTATTTGCTACCTCTGCTGTTGTGGCATCTTACTGCCAGTAGTTATGACTCATCCCCAGCCATAAGACAGGAGAAAGTAAATTGGAATGGGAGATCACAGAAAATGCATCATGAAAGGAACACCAGGGAAGTTTCTTCTTTCCCTTTTCAACAATGCATTCCTTTTAAAACTAACACTTTCCAAGACATGTTTCTGTTTATAAATTACCTTTATATCCATCTCTTGATTCTCAATAATGCTATAAGGTAAACTGATATTACCCCTACTTTCCCAGGTGAGGAAACTGGGCTCTGAAAGAGGAAGTAAATCTCTCAAGAGCTCCACTGTTTAAATGACCTCAGATTTAAACCACAATTTTTGACTAAATTATTCCTGGTTCATCATGGTCAAGACACTTTCTACCAAATGGTCTCCCATCTCCCAAAGATCCCAAGTTATGGATCATATTCCCACAGGCTCCATTCAGAACCAGAGTGAACCTACTGAGAACATCTTTGGAATAAATAGTGTTATAAGCCCCTAGGGCTTTGCCTGAACCTAAGTGGCCTGCTAAGACTGCTTACAAGTGGTAGGCATCAACTATACATAGCAAGGACTTGACTCAGGTCCATGCTGGCCTCTGGGCAGTGCCCATTCTCCTAGCTGAAGCTGGGAGGAGACAGGGCTATCATTAAAACCATTTAAAAACAATACACATACCAAAAAAATCATAAAAAACTTTATTTACAGTTGAAAACTTTAACACGATCTTAGGTTCTGAATCTGTGCTACTTCCAGGGTCTCTTGATCAAATAGGCAGCAGCAGGCAGGGAAACACAGAGGGCAGTCCACATTCTCTTACTTGAGAACATCACCCATAGCCATGGAAGGCCTACAATGGCAGAGATGTGGAGGTCAGTGAGGGATGGAGAAATAAAGAGTTTAGGGCAGTGGTTCTCAACGTTCCTAATGCCGCAGCCCTTTAATACAGTTCCTGTGGGTCATGACCCACAGGTTGAGAACTACTGGTTTAGAGGATCTAGAAGGGGATATTCCATGAGAGAATGCTCCCAGCTGTCCTCTCCACTCCTAATCTTCTTTTTTCTACCCTGTTTAAAAGGGTAGAATGGGTCTGATAAAGAAACTAACATTTTTTTTTTTTTGAGGCAGTTTCACTTTGTCACCCTTGGTAGAGTGCCACGATGTCACTGCTTACAGTAACCTCAAACTCTTGGGCTCAAGCAATTCTCTTGCCTCAGCCTCCCAAGTAGCTGGGACTACAGGCACCCACCACAACGCCCGGCTATTTTTTTTTTTTTTTTTTTTTTAGCAGGCCCAGGCTGGGTTCAAACCCACCAGACTCTCAACATGTGGCCGGTGCCCTAACCATGCCCAGCCAAGAAACTAACATTTATGACTATGCATACTGTCTCTTTTATTATTTACCTTTCACAGTTCTGTGTAGTATATATTATCTCTAATTATGCAAAGGAGCAATCTAGAGTTTCACAGGTTTAATGGCTTGACTAAGTCTATAGGGTTAGACAATGGTTGGGCACCCTGGTCAACTTGGCTCCAAAGCCTGTGGCTTTTTTGTTAGACTTCAGTAGCTCTTTGTGGAACTCCCAAACAAAGAGCAATCCATCTTCTTTGCATGTTTCAGACCCAGCTATAAAGAGAAAGTCTACATCTTTGGAGTCATCTATACCAAAAAACAGTGTATAAGTATACTCAGATACTACCATCCCCCTCACCCTGCCATCCCCAAATGGTGCCCACATCCTCCTCCAGAGTCCTGGTGTCATATTGCCCGCCCAGACAAAAGTTTAACTCTGGGCACTCAAGCAAAATGTATAAGTGCACTTTGCAAGTTGCATGGTGGATTAAGATCTATTAGACCAGGCACTATGTTAGTCAACATGGTCTTTGCTTCAAGGAGGCATCAGTCCAAGGAAAAATAGCACATTTGGGATACGCTGTGTTAAATGCTGTAATGAAGGTTTGAACCAAGTGCTGTCAGAGAGCATCCAGGGAGGAACCATTGACTCAGCCCAGACCTAAGAGGAGGAGATGGCAGAACCAGGGAAGAATCCACAAACTGATGTTAGCCCCAGCGATGGGCATACTACTGGGACATGTTGGGAGGGATTAGGACTAGTTAAAATTACATATTAGACAGTATATATTTCTATTATAAGATACGTGCTTAATGTAGAAAATTTAAGCATAAATAGGATAACAAACTAAAAAAGTCTCTTTGCTATCTCTTCTACAGAACTATTAATACTCTGCTGTATACTACTGCAGAGATTTCTCACATAATCAAAATAAATAGTACCATGCTTACACAATGTACGTTATTTTTTTGTTTTGTTTTGTTTTTTTGAGACAGGTCACTGGGTCTTGCTGTTGCCTAGGGTGGAGTGCAGTGGCACCATCATAGCTCACAGTAACCTCAAACTCGTGGGCTCAAGTAATCCTTCTGCCTTAAGTTTCCCAAGTAGCGAGGACTACAAGTACACACCATGTTTGGCTCATTTTTCTATTTTTCTTTCTTTCTCTTTTTTGGTAGAGATGGGATCTTGCTTTGTCCAGGTCTCAAACTGCTGGCCTCTTAAACTAGTATGATTAGACTTGAGCCACTGTACCTAGTCATGTATTAAATCTTAACTATCACTTAATTTACCTTAGAAATCTTGCCAACATATATAGATCTACCTCTTTGCTTTCCTTTCCCCCCCCTTCCCTTCCCTTTCTTTCTTATTAAGACTATATAGTATTCCATTGACGAGATGTACTTGTGTGTGTATATAAGACTTGACTATGATGGAGGCAGCTTTGCCTTGGTACTGGACTTGACTGGAATGAAGCCAGACATTCTCCTTTCCCTGGTCTTTTCAGCTGGTAGAGCTTCTGAGGGCAGGGAACAAATAGGTCACACACCCAGCAGGCACATAAATACTTTATGCCAAATCTCTGATGCTCCCAAGAGCCTACTTTAATGAGGAACCTTTCCTTGCCTGGACTACTGCAGTGGACTCCTCACTGGCTTCCAGCCCATCTTCTACATCACTGTCAGAATCATCTTCTGATCATGAAAATTGAACTACAATATTCTCCTGCTCAAAATCTTTCAGTAGGTCCTATTAGCCTGGTTCTTTTCAGAGGGCAGGATCCTCTCTGAGAATCTCAGGAGCACAATGTACTCTGTCTCCACAGGGGAAAATTACTCCTTCTCTGAAGCCCATTCCCTGTCCTTGGGATAACATATGAACTGCTTAGGTTGGCCCTGTTTCTCACAACTGGCCATGGCCTCCATCTGGCCTTCTCTCTTAACTATTTGCTTCTCTTGTCTTCCTACTTTGGCCATACTGAATTATCTGTAGCTTCTCCTACAATTCTGGCTGTTTCCTGTTTTTGTGCCTTTGCACATGTTGTTCCCTCTGCCCGGAAGGCCCTGCCCGGATTTAGCCACCTGACAAGTTCTATTCTTTTTTGTACTAAGCTGGAAGCATCACATCTTCTTTGGTCTTCCCAAACCCCAGGCAGTTCAAGGCATTCATACTTTCCTTACCTTGTTCTTTTCTTTTTTTTGAGACAGAGTTTCATTATGTCGCCCTGGGTAGAGTGCCATTGTGTCACAGCTCACAGCAATCTCTAACTTGTGGGCTTAAGTGATTCTCTTGCCTCAGCCTACCAAGTATCTGGGACTACAGGCGCCTGCCACAACGCCCTGCTATTTTTGTTGTTGCAGTTGTCACTATTGTTTAGCAGGCCTGGGCGTGTGTGAATGGCGCCCTAACCCTGAGCTACAGGTGCCAAGCCCTTTGCCTTGTTCTAAAACCTCCAATTCAGTGCTTTATTGTACTGTAACTATCAGTTTTCCCAAGAGACTACTGAGTTCCTTGAAAGAATGAACCAGACTGTTAAATCTGCAGTATAATAAATACTACGTATGCTGCATGGGACATATCTCAACATGTTTTACATAATCTTCCCCCTACAGGAATATGTCGCATCTACAAGTAATTCTAGGAAGGGAGATAATGTTTCCTAAACTTCATTCATTCAAACAGCATCTTCTCAACTGTTAAAATATACATCATTCACAGGTACTATTTATTTATTTATTTATTTATGTTTTTGAGACAGAGCCTCAAGCTGTCCCCCTGGGTAGAGTGCCATGGCATTACAGCTCACAGCAACCTCCAACTCCTGGGCTCAAGCGAGTCTCCTGCCTCCGCCTCCCAAGTAGCTGGGACCACAGGCGCCCGCCACAACGCCTGGCTATTTTTTGGTTGCAGCGTCATTGCTGTTTTGGCGGGTCCGGGCTGGGGATTCGTACCCGCCACCTTAGGTGTACGTGGCTGGCGCCTTAGCCGGGTGAGCTATAGGCGCCGAGCCTATTTATTTTTTTAGAGACAGTCTCACTTTGTTGACCTTGGTAGAGTGCCACGGCATCACAGCTCACAGCAACCTCCAGCTCTTGGGCTTAGGCGATTCTCTTGCCTCAGCCTCCTAAGTAGCTGGGACCACAGGCGCCCGCCACAACGCCTGGCTATTTTTTGGTTGCAGCGTCATTGCTGTTTTGGCGGGTCCGGGCTGGGGATTCGTACCCGCCACCTTAGGTGTACGTGGCTGGCGCCTTAGCCGGGTGAGCTATAGGCGCCGAGCCTATTTATTTTTTTAGAGACAGTCTCACTTTGTTGACCTTGGTAGAGTGCCACGGCATCACAGCTCACAGCAACCTCCAGCTCTTGGGCTTAGGCGATTCTCTTGCCTCAGCCTCCTAAGTAGCTGGGACCACAGGCGCCTGCCACAATGCATAGCCATTTTGTGTTGCAGTTTGGCTGGGGCCAGGTTTGAACCCACCACCCGAGGTACATGGGGCCAGCACCATACTCACTGAGCCACAGGCGCCGCCCTACAATTTATTTTTTAACCTAATCTCTATCTGAACTTCAATACTGTCTCGTAAGCTGTAACTATAAAATTATGTTATGTGCTAATTATATATTTTTTCCTAAGATTTAAATATTTATTTATTTACTTATTTATTTTTTGAGACCAAATCTCACTTTCTTGCCCCTTAGAGTTCTATGGTGTCATAGATCACAGCAATCTCAAACTCTTAGACTCAAGTGATCCCTTTACCTCAGCCTCTTGAGTAGGATCCAAATATTTAAAGAAGAGGCACACCTGTGGCTCAAAGGAGTAGGATGCCGGCCCCATATGCCAGAGGTGGCGGGTTCAAACCTAGCCCTGGCCAAAAACTGCAAAAAAAAAAAAAAAAAAAAGATAGTCGTCCTAGCACTCCCTGAAGTAGTCTCTCACAAAGCTCTATTAAGAAGCACCTGAGACGCTTGTTACAAACATAGCATTCTGGGTCTTTCCCTAAACCTATCCCATAAAACACTCCAAGGGAAGGATCTGGAAATTAGTAGGTTTAACAATGCCCCAAATGATTCTTATCTGTAGGGGCATCTGGGCAACAATAAGAAGAGTCCCCCAGACCACACTTGGTACTGGCACCAGGCTTGGGAATCAAAGGGAGAAGGGCAGCATATCAGACTAGTAGGGCTACTAGAGCTCACAGCTAGCTAGTCCCTTTTCTAAGAATCTTTAGAAACTTAAAAGGCTTTTGAAAAAGAGGTTCTACCCTTCCCCATGTATGTGTCATACAGCAGGACAATGGTGGGGGTAGAGATTTGTTTATGCTATCAAATTCATCATAGAAAGCTTTCCCAGGACCCACTAAGGGAAAGCCAAGATTTCTGTATCTAGAGTAGTGCATAAAACTTCATTTCACTAAAACCAACCTAGGAAGGCAAAACAAGAGTTCCAGAACAGTGCTTCTCAACCTTCCTAATGCCGTCACCCTTTAATACAGTT